AAAATATGAGTGTGTACCTGAATTTGGGCAAAAATCAACCTAAAATACTTTGTTTCCGCAATTTTATTTATTAGTTCCCGCCCTACATTTGAATTCAAACTTGTCCCGATTTCGCCGCCAATCCTCTAGCCAATAGTAGAGGTGATTGAAAAGAAGCTCTAGAAGCTTCATTTTTTGCTTTTAGTGCTCCGTCTTTATGTCTTTGAATACGGTCTATAGAGGTACTTCTAGTTTTTAGGTTATAAGACGAGACGAGTGGGCTGACAGCATAGAAAATGGGCTGACAATTGGCTGACAGTCAGCAGTCAGCTAACAGTCACAGTCAACTTGACGTTCAACATCTATCTAGTTATATCTAATCTTAGCATATAGTAACAGTTATTTGTTTCTGCAAAATTTCTCCGGGTTTTTAATTTTAAGAACTATAGAACCCAGTAGTTAAGATAAATTGTGAACATCCACTTTTCAGATCTGTCTTTTAAGGTAACATTGCAGGGCGAAATGTCACATCCTTTTCTAAACATTGTAGAATCAATATCAACCTTTGATACCATCAAGGTGTGGTTATTTGCTGGCCTATGGGGTCTCTGGATGCTTTTCAAGCGACTGGCATTTAAATTGTGGAATCCAAAAAGCTTCGAATGTGTTAATAAACATGACCACCCGCCACCATGCCTAGTCACCGCCTCTTATGGACATCACTCTTTCGTTAAATTGAAGGTATTTTTAAACATCATCCTCTTTCATTCATTCGCAATCGTATACAGAGTGTTTGTTTGGAACATATACTTCTAATCTCCTCTCTGCTCCTCGTCTTCATGAGTCATCCCTTGAACTTTACAGGGTAACCCTTGAACTTTACTCTACCTACCTGAGTTTTTATCTTGTTGCTGAGCAAAGTGACCCTTGCTATCCATGTGGGATTGCTGGTTTCACTACTTAGCAGGTTGGAGAGATTTAGGAAACCTTATCATACCTCATCGAATAGGTGCTTGTTAATTTTTGAGTTTGCATGAATGTTTCATTCAGAGATGCAAAAATGCTCAATTTTGCAAGCCTTGGATCCCATTAAATGTCAGGCGATTAAAAACTATTATTACATTCTTTCTTTTTTTAGTCCAGAACTGTTAAAAGTGAGGCAAATTGCAAATGCTATTGTGAAATTGGGTATCTCTTCATTACATCAGACCTTTAGTTGTGAGGCCATATCGGCTGTTCTTTAGTATATGGGCTGCTGAATTTCGGGATGAAATTCGGAGGGTAGTTAGGGCACTATTAGAGAAAGATAGCTGTGAAATTTCAAGTGTCAGAAATGAATATTTAGAAAGTAATGAGCTTTGAAAGTTTCGAAAATAACATGCGAATTAACGGTATAAAACCTACGGGTGATCGTCGCGATGAATGATGGGGGGAGGGAGGGTGGGTAGAATTTAAGGCTCCTTCAGGTTAGGCTAGGTAAGGTTAGGTTAGGTTAGGTGAGGTAAGATAAGGTTCATAAGTCACAAGAGATCGCGCTTCTTCGGTTCGAGCGTGGCAGTGACATAGCGGCAGTTGCTGTGTAGTCCTCGTCGCTGAGCAGCGACGATTTGTATATTATTTTCGAAGCTTTCCAAGCTCGTAACTTTCTTAATACTCATTTCTGACACTTGAAATTTCACAGTTATCTTTCTCTATTAGTGCCCTAACTACCCTCCGAATTTCATCCCCAAATTCAGCAGCCCATATACTAAAGAATTTCCGCGATATCATCAGATCCCCATGAACGGTAGGCTTTCTGAAACTGTCTGCTTCTCTGTTTTTGCGGAAGGTAACTGTACCAGTAATTGGCACTCCCAAATATTAACCCAAATAATAAGCTCTGATGGTGATGTTATGAACTAGTGATAATTTAGTTTCAAATCATACCTATAATGGGAGCTGTTAACACACCCATGCTGACTTCGAAGAAGTAGAAATTTGATAGTAAACACAAGCACCATAGATAAAAGGAGGTCTTGGAGCTTATAGTATAGATATCTCAATTCTTAAAGCAACAACTGCAATGCCCAGCGTTAGTACAATGGAAACATGGGCTTCACCAGTGTCTGGCAGTGGTTGCCGATTGCTGGTTCACTCAATTTTTGACCTGTTTTAATGATTGGGACTAGGTGTTTTGAGGTTAATAAATTGGAATTTTGGATGACAATGAAAAAAAAAAATAAATAAATAAATCCATTAATAATGAAAAAGCCCAGCAGAAAACATGTGCCTCACCACTGTTAGGCAGTGGTTGTCCATGGGAGATGTTGCATGTGTGAGGAATTTGCGATTTGACTGTGGATTCTACTGTAAAAGTTTGCAAGAAACGCGATGGTGCCACTTGTTTCCTCTGAAATTAACTCCCAAGCTCAAAAGAAGCTCTCAAGTTGAGGCCAAAATGGAGGGGATATCCCACGCTATCCTGAAAGTCCATCTCTACATCAAGACGAACTCTCCATGCAAAAGATAGGGAGCAAATAGAGCAAATATATCAGCAGGGATGCCGCATTTTCAGTCTTACAAGCCAGTCAGTTGTTAGAGTCCCCAAATAAAGTGGCAGGCCTGTAAATGTATTTGCTCCCTATCTTTTGCATGGATAATTCGTCTTGATGTAGAGGTAGACTCTCAGGATAGCGTGTGATATGCCCTCCATTTTGGCCTCAACTTGAGAACTCTTTTTGAGCTTGGGAGTTGATTTCAGAAAAAACCGGTGAACTTCTCGTGAACTCGTTACGTGAAAGTTCTCGCGAACTTTTACATAAGAATCAATAGTCAAATCACAAATTCCTCACAGATGCAACATTTCCATTACTGGTGCACTCACTTTTTGACCTGTTCCAATGATTGGCACTATGTTTTTTAAGGTTAACAAATTGAAATTTTATTTTGGATGACTAAGAAATAGAAAAAAAAAAGACCCAAAACAAGAAATCTAATTTTCTTTCGCTATTGCAATCTGTATACGCTTCTTTAGTAATGTTAATTCATTAAATAAAGCCTCTCAAAATACAAGATGATCAGAACAATCAGAATCGACATAGAATTGAAGAAAATTTTTATTTTCTCCCACCAAGTTTTCTATTAGAAAGCAAATGGTGCCACTGCTGACAGCTGCATCCTTGGCTACATCATAGCCGGATTTTTTATCTGAATTCTTGTTGCTTTTATCTCTGTTTGGACCACTCCTTCTATTAGGTCAGTGTGGTTCTGCCGTCTAGACGGTTTCTTATATCCCTGTTTCCAATGTCCAGGAATACCGCAGTGCAAGGCGGATAAAGAATGGTGGTCGCATTTCGTACCCTCTGGACGTCACACGGTATCGGGTACATCGGGTACATGGGCCGGCCGAGGCCGGGGGAGTCGGCTCAACCTCGAATTGCATGGCAAAAGCCGTACCCTCCTGACGTCACAGTGCTTTAAGATGGCAGCCAAAATCGAAATGCGACCACCATTCTTTATCCGCCTTGACCGCAGTGGTGGCACTTACCCTTCCTTGTCTCCTGAGACACCGTTGCTCAAGATTCGTCAATCGTGCCCGAAGTCTTCACGCAGCTTCGTGACCAAGATCCATCCATATAGGTCAGTCATTCCCGAAACCCAAATGAGAATCTTCTGCGCATGACGTCAGCATTACTGCCGCGAAAACCAGAAATGTCGGAAACAATGCTTTTCTTATGGGAGAGAACAAATTTTTCTTAATGAATCATTTAAATTTCTTACTTTTAAATTCTTTGAAGCTTTCTGAGTGTCGAAAGGAACGTTTAGA